TGATCTTTAAATTTATATAATATACTGTATGCATAAGGGAGACCAAATGTATTATAACTGCATTTAGGAGACCAACTACTTTCTACATGTAAATCAGTATTTAAAACTAGAGATTTTATAATAACCTAGTAATAAAGTTACATATTTTCCAAAATGTTTATCCCAATACAATAGTAATTTACTTTAAATTGTTTGTATTTAGATGACCTTAATCAATTTATCTCAGCCAGAATTAAAACAAGCTAATCTCACAAGTGGGCAAACACATGAACAGAGAGATGGGCATGATGATTCCTATGCACATGTATACACCCATGCTTATAAACAAACAATATACATTAGTATCAAATTTGAATTCAATATGTGCAACCTCTGTGAAGAAATTGAAGCAAAACTAGTGGTGGGCCACTCCGACAGATATTCCCTTCTTTGAAAGGGGTGAGAGCATAAATTAATTTTATGTGTACTTCTAATTGAATTAAAAACAAAATTACCCTTTGTCAAAATATAGATTTGTAAGCTGGAAGGCTGTTCTTCCTCATTTTTCCATGTTATATTCAGACTGTTCTTCAAAAGATTCTGGCATACACCCCTGAAAGAGTAAACAGTGAAGATAATAAAGAGCACCTAAATCAACTGCATATTTTTTTTTAAAAAAATCAACTTAAAAGGGATAACAAATGCATTAAACTGCATAAAGAAAACCAACTGATATTCGTTTATACGAGGGTTGTTAGAAAAGTTCATGGGCAAGTTCTACTGCGAGTGCGCTATTTAAATCAAACTGGTCAAACTTTCTAGATAAAAACTTTACCTATTTTGCAATAAATATACAAAGATTTGGTGTTTTCAGGTGATCCTTAAAAAATATACTGTACAGCTATTTTATTTTGAGAAAATATGCTTCACGGAGCATGCTTCTTTTTCCATGTTTACATTTTAAAGACCTTTTATTGATATTAAAAATTGCACAGCTGTAGCGCACAAAGATTTATGATATTTTACCTTTCCCAACAGAATTCATGAAACATCACTTGGTCAAATTTTGAATTAAATTGGAGCGTATATTACCGTTTTATAACAATTTATAAATATTAACGTATAAAAACAAAGCCAAAAATGGGAACGTCATGGAGCACATATTTATAATTGATACTGTCTTACAATGAATTCAAGTAATTTTAATATAAATTCAATGTATTTTTCGCCAGTCTGGCATCTTTGCGTGAATAATGCAAACAAAAAAGCACTAACTATACAAGATATCCTGCACGTCACATTCATACATAGCACAGCTTACGCATGCATATTTTGTTTACTACAAAACTATCGGGCATTTATGGCAGTGATTCGAAACATGTATAAGCCAAGATTTCAGGGCAATGATTTCATTGCAATTAAAAGGTGGCTCTGACATGACCCCGAAATGTTGTTAGATGTTTGAAACTGTAGAGGATTCGGAACATCAAATTTTAATTAGATTGCATGTAAATATGGATAAGAATTTCAAAGCATTCACTGATGCATCTCCCTATTCTTTTTTTTGAGTCAGAAAGTAACAACATACTGAAAATAATGAACCATACAGTAAATTCAACATGTAATTTTATTGAATTTGAAGTGTAACTTTTTAAAGACAGTTGAATTGCAATTAAAATTCACAAAATTACCCTTTGTCAAACTTAAATTTGTTGTTTTTTGCTGGAAGATATACAAAAAAACTGTTCTGTTTCTTTTGCATTGATTTCAATGTTAAAAGAGTATATTGTATTAGCAAATTATCATTTACCTTTCTTGGAATAAAAAGATTACTGTCAAAAAAGTGTTACACTGAAGAGTTAATCAAAATGGAGTGTATATATCTTCAGTTGATTTACGCAAAAGCATGCTCTACATACGAAATTTCTAAAACAAATTATTGACAAGCAAATAAAAGCTCCTGAAACAAGAAGCAGTCTTGAAATATATTTTCCAGTTCTTAAAAGGGATAACAAAATGCATTAAATGCTGTAAACATTTTTCATACCAATTGTTCGTCCAATTTAGTAGAGAATTGGATTATTTATTTTGCATATCAAACTGTACATTCAAGTATAACTTCACGAGGGTTGTATCAAATTTAATGTTTTGGACGTACAATTTCAATAACCATGTAACCAAATAAAGAATTTTGTTTTGCATTGATATCAATTAAAAAAAAGAGGATTTGAAATTATAACAGTGGCTCAATCACGATTATACATATTGATGTGCACTTGTACACTGAAAGTGTCAAATTATTTGTCAATTTATCCATCAAATGTTAAATCTTCTATAAAAGGGAATGTCAAATATTTGATGTGCATATTAATGTGCACATCAATGATTTTATTCATTTGCGCTCTTTTTAAGTTATAATTTCCTATTTGAAATACATATGTTTTGTTAAATGTTGGTCCTCTTATTTTGAAATATTTGTGTAAAAGCTTCCTTATCTATTTTTTCATCATAGCACAAAGCACATATAACCCAAATATAGATCAGAGACCTCAGCTCATTTTAACATGTGTGGCGCAGTAGTTAGAGCGTCAGCTATAGAGTCGTGAAGTAAGTTGATCGTTACATCGTGCGGAGCCGATCCTTCAGATGAGACCTTAAAGAGAGAGGTTGTGTGGCAGTATGTTTACAAAAAAACCATAATCAATGGCCGTAAAGTGATGAGTATAGGGCAAAAATTGAAGCACTACACTGGCAAGTGGTGGTGTCTAGTCATATGAGTAAAAATTCTCGAGAGGGATGTTAAACAACATACAAACCATACCATCAACTCGTAGCAGTACTTTCAGTACTTTGATTCCATGTTAGATTCAGACTGTTCTTCAAAAGATTCTGGCATACACCCCTGAAAGAGTAAACAGTGAAGATAATAAAGAGCTCTTAAATCAACTGCATATTTTTTTTTTAAAAATCAACTTAAAAGGGATAACAAATGCATTAAACTGCATAAAGAAAACCAACTGATATTCGTATATACGAGGGTTGTTAGAAAAGTTTGTGGACAAGTTCTACTGTGAGTGCGCTATTTAAATCAAACTGGTTAAACTTTCTAGATAAAAACTTTACCTATTTTGCAATAAATATACAAAGATTTGGTGTTTTCAGGTGATCCTTAAAAAATATACTGTACAGCTACTTTATTTTGAGAAAACATGCTTCACGGAGCATGCTTCTTTTTTGATACTGTCTTACATTGAATTCAAGTAATTTTAATATAAATTCAATGTATTTTTCGCCAGTCTGGCATCTTTGCATGAATAATGCAAACAAAAAAGCATTAACTATACAAGATATCCTGCACGTCACATTCATACATAGCACAGCTTATGCAATGCATATTTTGTTTACTACAAAACTCCTCGGGCATTTAGGTTCGGCAGTGAAAAGAGGAAACCCATTCGAACTACATGTATAAGCCAAGATTTCAGGACAATGATTTCATTAGCTAATCAAAAGGTGGCTCTGACATGACCCCAAATGGGATGTTGTTAGATGTTTGAGAAGCTGTAGAGGATTCGGAACATCAAATTTTAATTAGATTGCATGTAAATATGGATAAGAATTTCTTAAAGCATTCACATGATGCATAGGATATAAAACTATTCTTTTTTTGAGTCAGAAAGTAACAACATATTGAAAATAATGAACCTATTTCCATACGTACAGTACATGTAATTTATTCAACATGTAAGATAAATGTACTAAATATTTTAAACAAGGTTTTCCTGTTTAATTTGAATTTGAAGTGTACTTTTTAAAGACAGTAAGACAAAAACAAATTAATATGAGTTGCAAAACAATTATTCTTATTTTTTTAAAATTCATGCATAATGATTTATATGTCTTTTTTGACAGACTTGTTTAAGAATCCAATTATAGTGCATATCACATTATAAAATATTGTTGTTTTTTGCTCAATACACAGCCCTAATAAAAATGATATACGAAAAAAAAGTACAAGGAATGATTCTGACTGGGTTTAACATTCATTCGATTGATCATACAATTGCACTTTCATTTTCAAAATGTTGTTAGGTTACTGGTATGACTATGTTTCTTTTGCACTGATGTTACAATTTATTAAAAGAGTATACATTGTATTAGCAAAAGTAATTATCATTTACCTTTCTTGGAATAAAGACATGTTGACCCTTGAGATAAGATTTCCTCTCTGTCCATAAAAGTGTTACACTGGGGTCCAACAAATTCTAGCACAGACCCTGTAAAAAAAGACATTAGGTATTATGGATATAAAAAAATGTTGTAATTAAAATCCATATATTTCAAACATGTCTGTAATGACCGACATAATGCAAATTCAAAGCAAAATAATTACATATATTATATAAGAAGATAATTTTTGTAATTTTCATTGGCTGAAAGGATGTCACGTGATATTCCTCCTTTTGTGACATCGACGCGAAAGTGCGTCGGCAGAAAATGATGTGGAACAACACAGCGTTTGGTGCACTGAAGTTACGTAGAATATAAGATGCGTGTTTTTAACAATTGTGATGTAATGACAGCAAAGTCTGTTTAGTTAGGACTGTGTCATTGCATTAACTTTGTGTGATTATATTATACTTTCATGTTCAATACTAAAATCTGATTGGTTTAGACGCAGTTAACAATCCGTTCTATTACCCTCAGCCTTAGCAACACACGTGGCAACGGGTAACACAAAGGTAATGCCACATGCATGGAAATTATGCGCGTACGGTTCATCGTAGAATTCTCAAAACGTCAGTTGCGCGTTTGAAAGAACCGGAATAAACTTGACGTCAATAAAAGCTTGCATCCGATGTAGCTTACTTGAAAACAACAAACGACAGACGAAACATGCTTGCGAGTGCAGAAATAACGAAACTTTAGACGGTAAAGGACTCGTAGAGTAGCAAATAAGCAATAAAGAGGTCAGTAAATCTTTTTCGAATTAGCGGGGAGTTTGAAAGCTTCCTAAACGTGAACGAAAAAGGCTGATGATTTGTATTGCTGACATAGTAAATCAAGAGGACATTCAGTATAATAAAATAAATGGTGCCTGCTTTGGAGGGTAACAGTTGAAATTGACACCCCTCGGAAAACCATTGTCAACCTCCGCTGATGCGTCGGTTGACAATGGTTTTCCTTGGGGTGTCAATTTCAACTGTTACCCTTCAAAACAGGCACCATTTATATAATATGTAACTATTATGGACTTCAGTGAATGCTCAAATTATGTCATTATAAGGACTCATGGCAATTGATATTGACCTCAGACAAAGGAAATGATAGTGACTTCACAAGCTCAGTCGCTATCACTTTCTGAGTCTTCGGTCAATATCAATTGCCATGAGTCCATATAACCATATATTATATAACTTTGTGAAGTCCGGTAATCTGATTGGTCAATACGAAGTCATTATATTTCTTAAACAATCTCTGAAAGCCAATAATGACTTTCACGTGCTGCCTCGTTTTCACTTTCAATTTAAGACTAACCTCTGTGCGAAGAGAAAATTTGGACGACTGCACATTCATTCGATAGAATTTTTTGACGCTGTAACTTGGACCCACAATGCATCACTTGTTAAAGCTACGTTCTTGCAAGAATAGCAGCAAAAGTTCAACTAAAAGTAAACATGCCCTGATTTAATGGATAAACATTGAAGATAAATATAGTAAACAAAACGTTCTTCATTTACTTTCAGCACTGTTCAGGCTTCTTTTTGGAAATGTATTACTTACATTTATAAGACGTAATGTGACATCAGAGTCTAGACGCACTAAATGTCACGTGCAGTTTGATGAGCCTGATCTAAATTATAACAAAATAAATATCTGTGCTCGCCATAACGGTTGTATCGTCAACATATTAAATTTAATTTTTCTACAATTATTAATTAATTATGCCGAACAAATTATCATTTTCCTTCACTAATTTTCAGGTGTTCCATTTGTTTACATTTGGGTTTTTTTTCGGTCTGACAAAATTTGATTAAGTCCTGTTTGTTGATTAATTACACAGGACCGAATGCCCTGTGTGGTAAAAAAAAACATTCGCATAGACTGTATTGATGTATGAATCACGCAGACTTCAAGTAGGCATATTTTTCAAGAAGCTTTAGCGCTTCATGATATATGTCTAGGACCACTGTATGTAAGTTGTGGGTGAGCAAATCTATAAACATTTAACTTAGCATCTAGCTACTGATAGTCCCAAATTTCTCTTCACCTAAATATAAAGAGATCGAAGAGATCGCTATAAATCTATATAACACTTTCAGTAAAGTTACACATAGTAAACTAACATAAAAACAAGATTACGAGAATCATGTTTAGAAAGTCAGTAGCTAAATGTAAACAGGTAACGTTACATGTAAACACGCGGGCTGGTGACACTGACAGTCATGTCACCGAAAATACATGTGCCATTTTAACCGACTTAGGCCTATGAAATTTAAAATGTAGGCCCCTAAATATCCATCTGCACACAGAGTTTTCCATAAAGATAATAGGCCTAATTTAAAAAGTGTAAATACAAAATAAACAAACCTCAATACTGTTTTGAGCCTCCTCGTTGATCTCGTCGTTCTTCTCTGAAATATTCTGGTTCTCTGAGTCTGTCACTGAAAATGCAGGGAACCAGGCTAGTTTATTAACTCGTGCACATATTTGTTGACTTAATTTTAAAAGGAAAAATACGAAATAAACTTATAAAAATATAAACGAAATTAAATAATATAAAAAAAAATTAATATTTCAGTTAAAAGTGGGGTTAAAACAACCAAACATTTTTCAGTTTCATTTGTTTGGGGATGGGGGGTGGGGGGTTAATCTCATATTTCTGTCACCGAATATTGCTGAAAATAATGCAGGGAACTACAGGTTATAGACTGCGACAATGAATTGTTGATTAATAGAAATACAAAATAAATAATGTTATGAAAAAAATGAATTTCCAACACCTTGAAATATAAACTTTAAAGTTTTCATGTACAGTGTAGGGGTAAGGTAATTGAAAAAGGGGGGGGGGGGTAGTACAACCAAAACACCCTATCAGATTCAGGTTGGGCGAGGCTACCAACAAAAAATTGGTGATAAGCAAATGAAAAAAGATCATAAGGCAAAAGAAAGAAATGATCATAAGACTAAGAGGTAAACGTTATTTCTGAGGGGACACAAGCATATAGCTTGAATAGGTGCTTCAGCTTGCGATACTTTTTTTCTATATTCGGCTTTGTCTTTAAATTTTGTTTGTGGACTTGTGTAAAAGAATATACTGATATCAACTTTATTTCGAATTTCCTTCAGGTTCAAATACGTATTTATAATCTTTCCTTCTTCAAAGTAAAATTACTACACCCCCCCCCTCCCCCCCCCCCCCAAAAAAAATCAATGCTTGCCTTGTGTATTTAAAAAAAATATATTACTATATTATTTAAGTTACTTACCGCAATACAACTCTTTCTCAACAATTATGGTGTTGAAAGGTCATTTTCTGAAAACTGAAGAGGCATTCCGATGGTATTCGGAACAAATGACGGAAAGCACTTGCTAAGAATTCAGAACTTGATGCATAAATTTAGAATATTTTTCCTCTTTAGTTTTTTAACATAAAAAATGGAAAAATAAGTCGAAGAAACACTCATTTAAAATAATTTAACGCGGAAAAAATTATATATGCAAGATTTTTTGTTAAATTGCACGTTTTCCGTGGTCTCCACAATGCTGAAAAAATATCCTTTGAAATTATACACAGGTAATACATTCTTTTCTTTTTCAGGTAATATGATAGAAATTTGACAACTTTTTAATGTTAAATCGCAGACAAAAACATCACTTTTATCTAATGGAAGACTGTTTATTTACCAAAAACACGACATTTGCAATACTCATGAGGTCAAAATATTAGGGAGACCAAAAAAGGTCGCCTTAATCCAGCGGTCTCCCTAAGCCAGATAATATATCTTCCGTGGTCTCCCTAAGCAATATTTCATATATATATACATACATATATATATATATATATATATATATATATATATATATATATATATATATATATATATATATATATATATATATATATATATATATATATATATAATTTGCACTCAGCAATCGTTTAATATCCTAATTTGCAGGAATGGCAACCCTTTCCAAAGAGATGGTATAAAGAACGGTTACTTATCACTACGTCCGTCAAACACCCGAAACAAACTGTAAGATTTCTTACCTAAAAACAATCAATACTTTGTTTACTTTAAAGTTTTCTTAAAAATAATATTTTTATATGATAGTATAACTTTTATTTCTGATATGAAAGGAAAAACAACGAACATTGAACAATCTCAAAAAACATCTTTAAACAATACAAATGTGTGAGGCGGGAATTAAACAGGTACCCCTGGAGATTCTAGAGCTTGCATCAGGTGCCTAAGAAAAGTAACCATCCCTTTTTGACCAGTCTCACCCGCCGTAAACCTTTTGTATTGACTAGATTGGAGTACATGTAACTTTCTGTTGTCAAATTCAGAGAAAAAAAAACCCAAAGACCTAACAATTGGTATGAGACAAGTCAACCAAAATACGGCTCAATGATTGAAAGGTTATATAAGCTAAGGTCATAGAGATTATGGAATTTATAAAATGGCGATTTTAAACAAGCCTTTATGTTCTTTAAAATCCCTGTATAACAGTATCAACTTATCACTGAGTGGCATGCCTTGCTTTTAAAATTGATCCTAACATCAGAGCAAGCTCTTGAGTAGCGAATAAGTTAGGAGACATAAATAAACATAAAGTTGAGAAGGAAAAGATGAAGAGATCTTGTTTGTCAAGCAATTAATTTGTTAAGTGGCCTTTATCGTCTATTGTAATTAAAACATCCAAATATGAAACATATGAATATAAATATATATATTCATATATATATATATATATATATATATATATATATATATATATATATATATATATATATATATATATATATATATATTCATATATAAATATGAAATATTTATGGCCGACTCTGTGCTGTCATTTATTTGAAATTCACTGGGATATATCAAGTCAACATGTAGTGTTCCAGAAACATGTTTCTCGCCTGCTTTATACTGTAGCTTCAAAATACATGTAAATAAATCTTTGAGAGTTGTCAACTATTTATTTGTTACAAGTATCATAGTTCATATTTACCTACAAAGCTAAAATTCATTCAAGGATAATTAGACTGCATACAATTCATACGGTTGAAAGCTCTTAATCTTACTATGGTACAGATACTAGACTGGGAACTATGCAGAAAGGGAGACCATGCTCGTCTATCTGGGTTTGTCCTAACAGATATTGCAGCAGCTGTTAGAAGCTCTTCATGCTCTGGATTCTTGAAGAAGAAGAAACAAAAATTGACTTTTCATTATTGGTCTCCCACAGGTGTCGATATGAAAGAATCAAATTATGTTTGATAATTTACCTATAATTTTGTAAACCTTTACCATAATCCTCTACATTTGCGGGATTTGTTGTGTTTTCAGAAATGTATAGAACTGATTGTCTATGATGGACATTCTATTAACGTTTCTTAGTGGACATGAATTTACGGGTCTCTTCATGCTACAAAACAAAAATTAACCCCCACAATCCCGAAAATTTGCGTTTTTACAATACATGTACTTTCATTTGTGACAAAAGTAGATTTTGCATACAAAAATTCTGTGTTGATCAGAAAAAAGAAATTAAGCAAGAAAATGCGAAAAAAGATCAATCGTCTGAAGCTGAACATCGGGAAGTAATACAGTGTTAATCATTTGCTTGTTAAACATTTGCGTTTTTTTCTCAGGAGAATAGACGTCTTCAACAACAACAACAACAACAGTCTCAGCAGTCGTCTGGAGCCGGGGCCTCGGGGGGTCGTCAACAACAGCCCGGGTATCAACAACAATCCTCCAGCGGTCAGGACGACAGGGAGGGGGTTCTTAATCACCCCAAAAGGGGCCGTATTCCCACCTACATATTCCAGGTATGTTCTAAATCAGGAGGGGGTGCTAAATCACCCAAAAAGGGGCCGTATTCCCGCCTACATATTCCAGGTATGTCCTTTATCAACCCAAAAGGTACCGCATTCCCACCTACATATTCCATGTACATGTATGTCTGGAGTTAAATGCAAAAAACTTATAAAGAAAGATGAAGAACTATCTTTAAAAAATTAATATTCGTGATGAAATAATTTTGCGTTGTTAATCCTTAGAGAAAACACAACATCCACTGTTTCTATGACCACACTAGAGGTCAGTGGATGCGGCTACCGATAGGTTGGGAACTCCATCATGAGATGGTGGGGAAAGTGGTTGACCAGGTGGAAGAAGCCCTGCCGACCTGGAGGGACAGGCAGGATATCCTGGCCCTCCTACGGCAGTGTAACTATGACCCCGACGAATGCATGTCTACATACTTACATTTGGAAGGGGATCGTAAGTAAAAAATTAAAACTTTTAACCCTTCTGTCATCTTAACTTTGAATTACCTGTCCAACAATATTTGTATGTAGGACTCCAAAGTGCGATGGGACTCCAAAGTCCGATGGGCACGCCAAGGTCTGCGCCAAACCCCGATGTTTGACACGCCAAAGTCCGATGGTGTAGAAAACAACGTTTATGACGTCATAATACTACTGCGCCAAACCTCAATACCGCGCCATACAAAGGTCTTTAAAAAATATGTATAAATAAATAAATGCGAAAACTAACCTTTTCTCTCAGATAGGTGCGAGACTAACCCTAAACGCTCGAAAAGTGTGTATCAACTTTAAGCTAGATATCTTGGGTGGGTGCAAGACTAGTGTGCGAGGACTAACTCTAAATCTCTCGCGGTGTGCAATGCAAAGACTATCCCTAATCAATCGAATGGTGTGCGAGGACTATTCCTAATATCTCTGGAAAGTGCAAGCAATAAACAAAATCAATAAATTGTATTCAAGGAACGAATTCAGAAATGATGGCTTTTGAATGCAGGACAACGGTGTCAAGGATTGACGTCGGATTATTGTGACGTCATAAACATTGATTGTTCATCCGCACCATCGGACTTTGGCGTGTCAGACCATCGGACTTTAGCGCAACGTGTCTCATAGGATACGAGCCATCGGGCTTTGGCGTGACCATCGAACTTTAGCAACCGTAAAGACAGCGAGCCATCAGGGTTTGGCGCAGACCATCGGGGTTTGGCGAGACCATCAGACTTTGGCGTCACCATCGCACTTTGGAGTCTTACATGTATATGCCCCCGCTTGAAAAACATGTAAAATAATGGGGGTGTCCATACGACCGTCTGTTAAGCTTTGTGTACCCATACCTCTTATTTGCAACTTCATATACATCATCGAATAAAATTATAACGAAACTTTTCCCGAATCTGATAACATAGTGTCATTATGCATGCACCTTTATATAATTTACTCTTTGATCGATCACTTATTTTGGGTATCCCAACGCACAACATTGTCATTGCCATTTTTCTATATTATCAAGCGTACCTTTTTCTTATATGCAACTCCCCCTATAGCCCTTGATAAAATATAATGATACTTTTACACATATTTATGATATAGGTCTCTTTTGCAGCCTTTATATATCTTGTAATGTGATTGGACTTTGCCATTGTAATAGAATTTGAAGCAGGGGGTATCTTATAGAGCGCATATATATACTGCACCCAGTTCCTTTTGTTTAATACTTTTACCTTAAGCTTGCAGTAATCACGTGAAGGAATAAACGTATAGATACTGAATGTTTCGAGTTTTGAATTAGATGGTTGGAACTGCAGTTTTTAAAAACGATCAAAATGCAACTTATAACATACCTAACTAGCAGCGATTGTGAAGACGATTTCTATTGTTACTCAAAATAGATTATATTTCTTCACTTGAAAACGTTACATAGCTTTGTTTTGTTTTGAACATATTTTATTGACTATTTATTGTATATTAAAGGTCCAAAAATTTAGATAGTCCTCTCCCATACCCAGATAGCATGACTATGTTGGGCCAACATTTGTAAAAGGTTGTATGGTTGGTGTTGGGGGAACAACGTTGGGCCAACGTTGAACCAATGTTACCAAGTCAACCTTCTTGACCATGACAGAATTCCTATGTTGGCCCAACGTTGGTCCAACGTAAGCAACTTCCATTCACTTTAGTTCTCAAGGAAGGAAGGATCCTGGTGTTGGTCCAAAGTTGGACCAATGTTTATAATACACCCTTAAAGAAAAGTGTATTTACAAGTTGGTAGTAGTATGTTGGCCCAACGTTGGCCCGATGTTTGTAATACACCCTTAAAGAATGTGTCTTATCAAGTTGTTAGTAATATGTTGGCCCAACGTTGGCCCATTGTTAGTAATACACCTTTAAAGAAAATGTCTCATCAAGTTGGTAGTAGTATGTTGGCCCAACGTTGGTCCATTGTTTGTAATACACCCTTTAAGAAAGTGCCTTATCAAGTTCAAGTAGTATATTGGCCCGATGTTTCTAATACACCCTTAAAGAAATGTCTTATCAAGTTGATAGTATTATGTTGGTCCAACGTTGGCCCATTGTTTCTAATACACCCTTAAGGAACGTGTCCTATCAAGTTGGTAGTAGTATGTTGGCTCAACATTGGCACAATGTTTGTAATACACACAAGTGTTGTTTTGGTAAGGTGTTTAAAAGATGGGATATTTATATAAGGCCAACGTAGGCCCAATTATTATACTGCCAATTAATTGATAGTGTCAATTTT